AAAATTACCAAAGTGATGCATGTTCACTGTGGAAAACTTTGTATATTTGTACAATATTTAAAAGTGAAAATAAATGATTGCCACTGTCTCCTACCAATTTCACTCTCTACTGGTAACCACTGTTAATCATGTTCATCGTGTTTTATTCTGAGGCTACAATTGTTTATCATGCATTTCTCCGTTACTAAAATATATCTTAAAAGTTTATGGAACATGTTTTTCTTTGAGAGACAAAAAGTATTAGTGACTGTCATACTTGTCAAAAATCTGATTTGTTAATACCTTGCGAACCATAGATTTGTTTGTTTATTTATTTCAAATTGCCCATTGAAAGGGAGTAGTTATGGAAAGTATATTTTCTTAACACTTTGGGTGGCGCCTGTAGTGCAGTATGTGGGGTGCCGGCCACATACACCAAGACTGGCAGGTTTGAACCTGGCCCAGGCCAGCTAAAACAACAATGACAACGGCAACAACAACAAAAAAATCGCCAGGCGTTGTGGCGGGCACCTGTAGCCCCAGCTACTTGGGAGGCTGAGGCAAGGGAATTGCTTAAGCCCAAGGCTTTGAGGTTGTTGTGAGCTGTGACGCCATGGCATTGTACCCAGGGCGACAGCTTGAGACTGTCTCAAAACAAAAACGAAAACAAAACACTTTATTGTGGTGCTAAACAATTGACACCACATAGAACTCATTATTATAGGAGAAATTTTAGTTCATTTGTTGCCTAGAGTGTGATATGAGTGCGTATTATGTTTAATTATTTATGGAGAAAAAAGCCAGTTTCATTTTAGTTTGCTACTGGAGGGTCAGTATTAAAAATAAAAATGTAAGTATGAATCTAGGTGTTTCTGGAAGCCTTTGTCATTAATAGGATTGTAAGAATTCTATCAACGCTGCATTTAGGATAACTTTATTATTGCATAGATTATAGCAGCGAGATATATAACTGATATTTATTTAAATGAATTTTAAACCATCAGGTATTGTTAAGGATCTAAGAAATCAACATCTTGAAAACTCAGAATACAGCCCATTAAACAGAATGCTTTTGCTTTACTTTAACCTCCTTTCATTAAATATTAACCTTAAAATCCATTCTAATTTTTATTCTTGGTACTTTGCTATTTTTATAACTATATATTGAGATTTAGGACTTTTTTGCTGACTTACTAAATTTAATTGGTAGGGGTTCTTGATAAATATGAATTTATTAGTATTAGGTGACATTATTTATATTTTCCTCTTAAGTCTCAGAAATAGAAAAATGAAACATTAAATCATTCTTTAGACTAGTTTTTATTATTGGAAATTATTCAGAAGTTATAAATATGGTATGTCTTTAGGTATCAGAGTCTGTAAACTTCTGTTAGGACTTGTTCTTACCTTGACCTTTCTTGTCTCAGGAAATAGCTTCAGATTTCTTCGAGGGTTGTAAAGTGGTCCCTCAGCAGTCACCTCACATCCATTTTTTCACAGCACACTTAAATCTATTAAAAAGTACTGTCCTTTTAATGTCTGAAATCTTGATGAATTCTGTTTACTTCTGATACATGTGTTTGAGCCACCATCACTTCTCAGTGAGTTTATTGCAGTGGCCCCCATCCTGGCCTTTTACCTGTGTTCTTCACAGTAGCCACGTTATTTTCAAAAATTGTTATCATATTGAATTATTCCCTTGCATTTAAAAGGGAACATACAAGTTTCTTCTGTTCCAAATTCTTTACCATAATCTGTAGTGCTTACCCAATCTGGCTTTCTCTGAATACCTTGTATTTGCCAAACTTATGTCCACATCAGTGTTTTTACACTGGTTTCTCTTATCTTTCCCCCAATTTTTTTTTTTTTTTTAATTGAATGGTAACTATGTACATTAATGCACTTCTGGGGTACAGTGTGGGGTTTTCACATGCAATCCAAAATACTTCCATCAAACTGGTCAACACAGCCTTCATGTCATTTTCTCAGTTATTGTTTTAAAACGTTCACATTTTACTCTTAGAAAGATTCACTTGTACCCCTATAAGATAAACCTCAGCAAGCAGAGTTTTTAAAGAGGAATTTTATGGAAAAATGTATTTATTTTAACATGAAAATTAAAATTTACCAAATGTCACTATGAATTGAGTACTTTACCTGCATGTCATTAACATTCATTAATCATACCCATTTTATGGAAGGAAAAATAAGTTCAGAGGTTACATATTATTCACATGTATGGCAAGAGGCTGAGAAGACTTTCAAATTCAAGATCTTTTGATTCCAATGCCTATCATTTTTCTAACACACAGTGAGGCCTCTCAAGCTAAGCTACAGGGAGATCTATATGCCTTTCCCCCAATTTTTGCATTGCTGACTCTCTTTTTTATTAATGTTTTGTCATTTTCAATGTTCATGTCTTTTGCCTCCTTGATTAAATTTATTTCTTAGGTTTTTCTTTTTCTTTTTGATGCTACAGTAAACGAGACTTTTAAAAATCTATTTTTGAATAGTTTGTTGTTACATATATACATGCTACTCGTTTTTGCATGGAGAACTTTTATTTCTACAATTTTACTGACTAACAGTTTTGTGGCGGAGGTCTTTAGGGTTTTCTTTATGTAAGATCATGTCATCTGCAAATAGGGACAAAGTTAACTTCTTCCTTTTTGATCTAGATGCCTTTTTATTCTTTTTCTTTCCAAATTGCTCTGTCTAGGACCTCCAGTCCTATATTGAATACAAGTGTCAAGGGTGGGCATCTCTTTCTTTTTCTTGATCTTTAGCATTTCTTCATTATAATGTTAGCTATTGTTTTGTCATAGACAGCCATGATTATGTTGAGGTATATTCCTTCTGTATCTAATTTTTTGAAAGTCTTTTTTTTTTTAATCATGAAAGGATGTTGAATTATGTCAAGTGCTTTATCTGTATCTGTTGAGGCAATCATATGATTTTTATTCTTTATTCCGTTATGTGGTGTTTCACTTTTATTGACTTTCATCTTTATATCCTGAGGATAAATTCCAAGTGATTATGGTGTAATGGGTCTTTTTTTAATGTGCCAGAGAAGCCAGTTTGTTAGTATTATGTGGAGGATTTTTACATCTGTGATCATTACGGATATTGGCTTGTAATTTTCTTTTTTAGTAGTTTCTTTGTTTGGCTTTGGTATCAGGGTAATGCTAACGTCCTAAAATGAGTTTGGAAGTGTTCACTCCTCTTTGACTTTCTGGCAGAAGGATTGGCCTTAATTCTTCTTTGAATGTTTTATAGATTTCGCCAGTGAAACCGTCAGATGCTGCTGAGCTTTTCTTTTTTGGGAGGTTTTTGATTACTGAGTTGATCACTTGACTCATATTGGTCTGTTTGGATTTTCTGTTTCTAGATATGAGATCATATCAAACAAGGGTAGTTTGGCTTCTGCCTTCCCAATTTGGATGCTCTTTGTTTCTTTTCTCTGATTGCTTTAGCTAGTACTTCCAGTACGATGTTGAATATTGGTTGTGAGAGTGGGCATCCTTGTCTTGTTCCAGATCTTAAGAGAAACGGTTTCAATTTCTCCCCATTCAGTATGGTACTAGCTGTGGGTCTGTTATATATAGCTTTTCTTCTGTTGAGGTAGGTTCCTCCTTTTCCCAGTTTTTTGAGAGTTTTTATCATGAACGGATGTTGAATTTTATTGCCTGCTTTCAGCATCAGTTGAAATGATCCTAAGAATGAATTTGGTGTTCACGTAGAAGGACGACTGCGGGATGTTTCTGTTCAGCCATCGTGTCTGCTACATGTATTCCATACTGTGTGCTTACAGTCTGTTTAGCTAGTTATTAAGAAATCATATGTTTACTGCTCCTAGGTGGGAGTACATAATCATGCAGGTCTTCACCTTGTTTTCTTTCTGAGTGGGCTGAGGAGAAGGGGTTGGTCTAGCTGTCTCGGGG